CATCTTCTATCTCCTTGTAGACTTTCTCTAGGGAAAACAGCACAAAAAGTTATTATGTGCACTGCACTTCCCTGTACCTCATTCATGAACCAGTGAAAGTATTTGATATCATATATTTTAAAAATTGGAATTAAATAGAGCTGTAGGCTTGGGTCATGAAGCAGCACATATTAGCTATGAAACGAAACAAAAAAAAAATTCAAGGAATTTGAGTTCTTTTACCCAAAATTGGTCCTCAAGAGAAGTATCCTTTACATAAGTCTAACATGAGTTCCAGAGTAAAAGGATTAAGTCTGTGTATAAACAGTTCACAGCTTGTGCAAATCATTCTCCCAGGGCAAAGTGAAAGTATCGAAGTGAGACAGATGCTTAACCAACAACTGTCTTTGTAACCCTATCCAAAATAGAACGAAGGGAAGTGAAATGGTGGTAGGTGATAAAAGTCTGAACATGTTTCAACAACTATTGTAAAAATTCAGGATGCCACCTTAAAAAGAAACCACTGACCTGTTTTTAGAAATAAATTTTGATTCTAGGAGTGGCTAGTGGACCTAAGCCACCACTGGGTTCCCTGATTCTGATCGGACCTAATGACCCACTCTCAGGGTCCATGCACCAAAGCAGAAACACGTGTAGAAGGCACAGCCTTCTGCTCCATTGTTTGACAGGGACTGGCCCTTTAAGAGGACACTGCCTGATGATCAGCTAGGAGATAGCCTTGAGCCAGGGGTGGGGAAAGGAGGAGATGAGTCACAGCTGGGATATGGGGGTGGCAATTCTAGAAACCTATAATTTTTTTACATTTTTTCCTGTAGTTTTTTAAAATAATTGATGTTTTGGGACTGCTTGGACCAGGGGTCATTTCCTGCAGGAACATGCAGCAAGCCCCACCCCCTGCTCCCAGCAGCCCTCAGTCAGAGCAAGAAGCAGCCAGGTAAGCTGCAGAGGCCCCACCCCCGGTCCTCCCGGTCCACAACAGTCCAGTGGCACCTTTAAGACCAAGTTTTATTCAGGCACAAGCTCTCCCTCCTCTGTGAGGACAGATCTCCACGTTCCCCCCCCCAATAGCTAGCAATCAAAAACAGTCCAGTGGAGCCTGAGCGGTGGGTGTTACCTTCTGCCAAATGTCCGGTGATGTCAGGGGGAGTGACATATGCAAATAAGTCATGCTAATGAGTTATACTAATGAACTCCTGCACCTCTTTTTCTACAAAATGACCCCTGACCATCACAATTTACATCTGGGGTGGTTAGCAGTAAATACTGTCAAGTGTAGGCCAGTTAATGAACTTTGCTATGGTCTCTTTCACAGGCCAAAGTAATGATTATTTGCTTGGTGTTGTGACTGGGTGGAGGAATGTGGTGTGAGCATCAATTAATCCCTAAATCCATAGAACAAAATACATTTCTGGCAGCAACACTTAAAATATGGGACTGGGGAAAAAAACTTACACTCAACAATCCTGGTTCCCTACAGGAATAGAAAGAGGTGCTTTTGCAGCTTGGACATTAAATGGCTTTCAGCAAATACAAGATTTTTTTGAAAAGGGGGAAGTTCACTCAAAGAGATACTTTGAAGAAAAAATAAACTCTACAATATCGTGGCTCAGATGTTAGCAATTAAAAAGTATGATAGAAGGGTTAAAGGATACAGGGACTCTCACTTGGCCCAAAACCAATTTTGAAAAAGTCATCAACAAGTCTTCGAACAGTTCAAAGGGACTTCTTTCAATAATGTACAAGATTTTATTTGATATTGAAAAAGAACAAAACATGTCTTACAAAACTTCTTGGGAAAAGGATCTTCAAAGGGAAATAACACCCCAATAATGGCTATCTATTTGGGGATCCAAAGCAAATAATTTAAGAATTTTTAATATTAGGCTGCAATTTTTCAAAATGTTTACAAGATGGTACCTTTCCCCAGTCCGACTAAAACATATGCACCTGAGCTATAGTTCGATATGCTGGAAAGGATGTGGAGAAAACAGTGATTTATATCATTGCTGGTGGTCCTGCTCCGAGATACAATCTTTTTGGGTACAGATACTGGAGGAAACCAATAAAATAACAGGCCAAAATATCCCGCTAGAGCCAGCTATCATATTATTAAACTCAACAATTACAAAAGATAATCAAGAAGTATATATATCAGACCTCACTTCTACATTATTGGCTACGGCAAGACTGAGTATAGCGGCCTCATGGAAATCTCCCAAACCTCCTACCATTCAGAATTGGCGAAATAAATGTTGGGATCATTTTATAATGGACAAGATTGCAGATAAATATGAAGGGCAAATGAGTAGTCATACGGGATCTCATACCAAATTAGTGCGCAGGTGGTTCCCTTTGATCACATATTTCGTGGAAAATGATTTCCTACCCTCAAACCGTAACTATCTGGAATGGATACATTTTTTAATTTACAAGTGTGTTAGGCTGAGCTCTTAGACTGAGTACAAGGCTAGTTATGTGTAATACACAGATACTGAGTTGAAATTGATTGGAAACACGTAATATATTTTTCAGAATGCATGTTTGCATTGTTTTAATTAAATAACACTTTGAAAACCAAAAAAAAAAATTAATCCCAAAATCAATACATGCTACCTTCTTGAGGAAAGTGGCACTGGGCTGTAGGGGGTTCCTTCCAAAAATATCTGCCCAGCCTCTTGCCCGAAATAGGGTTGCCAGCCCCCATGTCCCAGTGGGGGATCCCCTTGGTTTGCGGGCTGCAAAAAGCAACAAAATCTTCATTTTGAATACAAAATGTAGAGTCTCTGACTTTAGAAGCAATGACTCCTGATGTAGCACTGATTAACAAACCCCAGGTAGACCCTGCCCTGGTTTTGCAGAAGTTTGTTTAGTATTTTACTAATGAGAGAACTGCAAAGTATGAGAACATCTGGCTGTTAGACCCAGCCATTCATTTACAAAGATGCACAGGTTTGAATCCAGCAATTCTCTTGCCTCTCCCTGTGGAGGGGAGGGAACTGAGTTCCCCTCATGGTTGCTTACGGGAATTAGAGGCAGTTGCCAACCTCCACCCTGACATTTGGGACATACCTCTCCCCAACCCGGACCTTTGTTTATTCCCTGATGGGTCTGCCAGTAGCGATGCACGGGGGCAGCCCCAAGTCGGTTATGCCATTGTAAATTGGGGGGGAGGGGAGGAAGGCCCAGAGTCAGCTGTTCTCCCTTTACATCTGAGCACTCAGGCAGCAGAACTTTTGGCAACAGGAGTCAGCGTTAACATCTATACTGACTCTCGCTATGCTTTGGAGAGTGTCAGGGGATGGGACAAATTTGAAACCACTGGGGTTCCTAACAGCGGCAGAAACACCAGGTGCATATGTATGGCACGACTGCTGGTTACCAAGTCACAGCCGCTGGAGCTTGTTGTAGTTCATTGTGATTGTTTTGGAAATGCGCAAACCAATCGCACAACTAAATTTGCCATTTGTAAGAAATCAGAGTTACAAATGGGGGTGCAGGCATCTCTGGCATCCCCTGATTTTAGTTACAAATGGGGGTGCAGGCATCTCTGGGATCCCCTGATTTATTTACAGTAGTATCAGCATTCCAGCAAGCTGCTCCATAGAAGGAAAATGACCTCTGGGTGTGCAGAGGTGTCACTCTCCGGCCGTGGCCGCCCCTCCCGGATAAGATCTTTGTGAGACTGGTAGCACTGTGTAGTAATCACCCACACAGGCCACTTCGTGCCCTGCATGGGAATGGGGGAGGGTAGCGACCCAAGTCTTAAAACAATGGTATGCCCCAGGAATCCATCTAGAAGCAAAATGGGAGACGCAGACTTGCCACACCTGCCAAAACCACAAATAAAACAAAGTGCCTACCCTATTTGTTTTGGAGCATTCCAACATCTTTAAACTGATTTAACACTTTGTCAAGGGTATGAATATTGTTTAATTGTTATTGATATATTTTTAAGTTGAATTTCAATTTTAAGTTGACTTGTAGCCACAGGGCTTAGGGCCATCATTTATTGCTAATGTGTTTAAACGCTTGAGGCAGTGCAGATTACTCATGCAGCACATACACAAAGAGCTCAGGGGCCATAGAAAGGAAGAATGGGTTCATAAAAGACAAATTGAAAAGATTTGTGAAGCAACAGGTTTAAATTTGTTGGAAGCATTGCCTCTTGTTCATTTACACATTAGGAATAAGCCTAAAAGAAAATATAGGTTGATCTTATTTGTGATTTTGTTTGGAAGGTTTCCCTGTGTATTATAACCCTCATAGGCTGCAAAGCCTGACTGAAGAAAGTGATTCTGTGACTAAATATATTTTGTTCTCGCTACCCCTTTAAAGGTACTCCATTCTGAAGTCTAGAACTCCCAATCTGTCCCGGCTGATGTGGCTTGCCATGACATCCAACCTGGCAATCAAGTCTGGCTACTGACGCACAGTATCAAAGCATTCGCTTGCCCATCACAGGGAAAGCCTCCTGTGACGTTTCTGACCACCACCACTGCCAAGGGTCGAGGGAACCAATACCTGGATTTACGTCTCTCACACACGACGGGTCGTGTCTCCAATGGAACCCAAGCCTGAACTACCAACAGCTGCTCCAGATGCCTATCTGGACCTGCAGCAGGTGGAAGTGACAGAAGCCGAGGCCCTACCCAGACCTGACACACTTTGTTACCTGTGTCATACCAGCAGCCGTCCCCGCTCCAGTCATTCCAGTTACAGTGAAACCCTGCAATCTGCATCCTTGCAGGCAATGTTTGCACGCCTGCCACCTGTACAAGCCATCTTGGCGTGCAGAGCCAGTACTCTGTTGTTCCAGCCAGTGTTTTGTTGTTTCGGTTTGAATCAGCCTTTGTTCCAGCTTTGTTCCTGAACTTTGACTTTATTCCTGAATAATAAAGTTTGCAAGCCACCAGCCGACACAGAACTCTTATGCCAGCTCAGGACTCTAGTGAGAGTGACTGTAGTGAGTTTGAGTTTAATGAACCAAGATTTTCCAGTGAACTTTCTCCATTCACCCCATTAGAGACTTCTAGTACTGACTCTAGCAAATGTAGGGAACCCAGATTCACTATTGAACTATTTCCAATCATTCCTGTAGAAATCACTCCCTTAGAAGATTACAGCATTCCAATTTGTTCCAATTCCAGCTTTGCATCTAGTAATGACTCAATTGCTTTTACAGTAGACAATTTTGATCTTTTCTCTAACCCTTTTCATTTAGGTAATTCTTGACCGGAAGAGTATTTGTGGGTTTCATTTCGTTGTAAACATTTTTATTTAGATGTGTATGAGCAAGATTATCAGGAAGAATATTTAGATATTTTCCTTGATCTTTTATTTAAAGAATGCAGTATTGTTAGGTGGTTTTGTAATCTTGGTATGTTTTCTCGCTATTTCTTGTGCAGCTATATGTATTCCTTCTCTGTTTTCTTTTGGGATCAAAATAGTCTCTAACTCCACAGCAGCTATATCACCACAACAATGTAGAATAGACAATGTAGAATAGACAGCTTCTTGCAGCCTATTGTGTTTGGGTTCATTTTAAACCAAAAATTGGGGATTGTGGAAAGAAATTTTAGAAATATAGAAGGTTTGGGTTTAAAAATGAACCAAAATCCATGTATCTGTCTCTGTCTTTGCTAGCAAAACAGCAAACAGGCTTGGCCTGCCTCACTGAAACAAACCCCATGATTCTTTGCCAACCATTTGTTCCAGGCAGAGCATTCCTCTCAGTCACATACTCAAAGGTTTACCCATTCCATTCCCAGGATCCGAATCAATGTAAATTCCCATAGGTTTGAAACTCAATTTCCTACACAATAAAATGTATCTAACAGGAAAGGCCATTTGGGCAGTGACAGACTTCAATCCATAAGGCAAACTGACTCCTGAGATACAGGAATTCACACACCTCACTTCCATCTCAAAGATAACATCAAAGAATAGTTTATCTTCCAGGTTGGGAACACCAGGAAAGAAAACAATGATACTGTGCTGGTCCTGTAAGCAAAATGTAACTTTTGGAGTGTGAGACGCAAGGAAGCAATCTCAACTTCAAAATGTTAATTTACACCTGTACAACTGTAAAACAATCTCAACTTCAAAATGTTAATTTACAACTGTAATTTAATTACTGGGGGGCCTCTTTGATCATTTGGTATAAATGCTAGTCAGTCTCAACAGACTTTCGCTGGCTCTTGAAGGATCAGGAGAGGTTTTACTCTCTAGAGACTTTGGGAGTCAGCCCGAAAGCCTTTCATTTTCTGCATGCTTTGGGGTGTGTGTGAAACTTTACTTGCATGTTTTATTTTTTGTGTTTTCACTAAATAGGACTGTACTGTGTTGGCAACTGTCATAGTGTCTTGCTAGCCACCTTGCCTGGCAAACCTTGGGATGTTTTTCTTAATAAAGATAAGTTTTATTGTAAGAAGAGACCCTTGCTTGAGTGTCTCTGCCAGCGCTTAGTGGTTTTCAAACTCGCACCATTCGCCTTATGTAAGGAGGCAACACTCAGGGGACACATGAACCAAAGGAGAGTGTGGGTGGCATGGGTGAACGCATTCACAGACATGTGCAGCCACATTTTCTCATGACACTGGCTAGTGGGGGAAACCCCTCCCCTAAACTGGGACATCACCACATGATGTCTCTGATGTGATGACAACACCCAAAAGTGATGACATGACTCGGAAGTGACATCATTGCATTGGGGGTGGAGTAAAACTTTACTTGCATGTTTTATTTTCTGTGTTTTCACTAAATAGGACTGTACTGTGTTGGCAACTGTCATAGTGTCTTGCTAGTCACCTTGCCTGGCAAGCCTTGGTATGTTTTGCTTAATAAAGATAAGTTTTATTGTAAGAAGAGACCCTTGCTTGAGTGTCCCTGATGCGATGACATCACCCAGAAGTGATGACATGACTCGGAAGTGACATCATTGCGTTGGGGATGTTGTGCGGTGGACGATATGGTTTTTGGGCAAACTCTATGGTTTAAGCCCAATTTAACTACAAAGAAATGGCACTGGAAGGAAAAAGAAGGTGATTGTCATAGATGACTCCCTGCTGAGGGGTACGGAATTTCATGTTTCCAGGCCTGTCCTCCTGGCTCGAGAGGTGTGTTGCTTGCCAGGGGTGAAAATTAAAGATATTATAGAGAGGATTCCTAAACTCAAACCTACAGAGCATTACCCATTTGTGATGGTCCATGTGGGAACTAACAACATGACCGTGAACAACATACAAAACATTAAGGCTCATTATGAAGCTCTTAGGAGGAAGCTGAAGGAAATGGGAGCACAGGTGGTGTTCTCTTCAATCCTTCCTGTCATAGGAAGGGGAATATGACAGGAACACATGATACGTGAGGTGAACCACTGGCTGCATTGGTGGTGTCGGCCGAAGCAGTTTGGATTTTGGGATCACGAGCTAGGTTTTCTGGATGACAACCTACTAGCACATGATGGATTTCATCTGTAAAGGTTGGGGAAGAATGTGTTTGGCAGAAACCTGGCAAGATTTATCAAGAGGGCTCAGGGGGAAAGGAGGGCATGTCTCCCCACCTACTCTTCCTTCTCCAGCCAGCCCACTTGCTGGAGAAGGAAGAAGAGGCGAGTAGACATGACTGGCTTCCGTGCCTGGCCTTCTCCAGGTGCCCCGTGGCTGCAGGGTACCTGGAGAAAATCTGGCTGGGAAGCCAGGCATTTTACTTCCCCAGGAGGGTGAGGCCTGGGCTTGTTTCTGCCGGAGAGCTGCTCTGGGGCGCTCCAGTAGGAAACAACCCCTGCTTCTTTGAAAAATGAAATGAAACTGATATGAACTCCTATGGCAGATTTTATTTGTTAGTTCATTTTGTCCAAGTTTTTCCTGCTTCCTTTTAGATAGCTCATAGCAGCATGTTTTATTACCTTTCATCCATTTTATTTTTGGTGAGAGAGAGTGACTGGCCCAAGATCACCCAGTGAAATCTAAGATCATCTGACCATTGAGGATTTGAATCCTGGCTAGATTGCAGAATCTAGTTATGTCAGACTAGTTTTCTCAGATGGATATTAAACATCTTTATTGTGGTTCTGATTCAGTCAAGTCTTTCTAAAACTACAAGAATAAACTAATCCATTTTACCCATTTTCCAATGAAATTACATAAAATTCTTGGTACTTTTTTATAATGTCATCTGCTTCTCACACCACTTTCCTTTGCAGGTAATTGCTGCTGTATTCATTGGAACTTACTCCCAGTTAACAATGAATAGGGTTGTACTGTTAATTAGCTACTCAGTATGAAAACTTAAAAGAATGAGGATATAAGGGTGGCCTTTCTTTAAGTCAATATAGAAGTCCTTCTTACCTTGGATGTCTGGGCGATTTGCCATGAGAAGCAATGTCCATCGCAGTGTCAAGGATATTGTTTCTGTTCCTGCGATGAAGAGGTCAAAAATACTGTGTGCCAGATTGTCTTCATTGTAAGTAGAGTTGGGGTCATTCTTGCTCTGTTGTTGATGGTAAAGAATGTGAGTCAGCATGTTCAACAAATTCCAAGCATTTTGATTCAGAAGCCATGGATATAAGGCCCTTTCTGCTCTGACATCTTGCTCTGCAGAATCCGAAGAGTCAAGCCTTAAGGGCTCACTTAGCAATAGCATGCATTCCCTCCGCACTAGTTTCCCCTCCCCTTGCAATCATACCCAAAGCCACATTCTACTAGAAACCTACAAATGCCACGAGTCTGATCCATGGGTCCAGGCATATTTTGTCATTCAAGGCAAAACCGCCAAAACAAACAGCAAAGGTATTAATAAAAATCAAATATATACTTCAGAAGAAATAAAATCTGACCAAACTAAATATCCATTCATTGATGAACAATATATTCACAACCTATGGAATATTCCATTTATTAACCATGTGAGATCCAACGTCTTTCTCAGTAGTCCCTTTAAGAAAATAATATATACAGAATTAAAATAGTCAATGTATATTTGAATTTCATTGACCCATGTTCAGCCAGCCAGCCATTCTTACAAAGATTTTCTAAAACCATAGCATGTTTGGAGGCATGTTTGGTCCTGTTTACATAGAAGCAACCTTGAGAGGTGCATATTAAAGCTTAGGAGACCTGGGCCATAAAGAAACTGAATAGTATTGTCCTGTAAAGAAATTGGAATGAGACTTCCTAATGTTGTTCTTTGTTCCTGAGGAAGGACCAGAAGTCTGAAACACTGCATACTACCCAGGAAACGTGTTGGATATCTACTCTGGACTTTGTTTTTTCCCTTCTATGGATCCTGTGAACTTCTGTATCTTCCAATGATGGATTATATGTATAGATTCATTTCTGATTACATGTGCATTTCACTTTGTTGAAGTCTCCTTTTGGATTTACTTTTACAGGTAATTCAGCTCACAGTTGTCTCTTGTTGTCCCTTGCTATTTTCTAAAACCATAGCAGAATCACTGAGTGGGTAAAATCACTTGGAAAAGACTGGTTTGTAATTTCCATTTTTAGAGACTTGTTTAGCTTATTGATTAAAGGATATGTCTGCAGATTGTATACTGGAATTTTTCAGAGACCATGTTCTGTTTCACCTGGCTCAGGCAAACCTGTTTTTCTTTTAAGGACATGCAGGCTTTTTAGAGACTTTTGAGACACATAATATACACATGTCCCTAACAATCTGAAGAAGTGGTATACAGAATACAGAAGAGTATAAAATTTAAGTATCCAACACACACAAATTAGAAACAATAAGTATATTATAACCATTTATAAAATCATGTTAACAATGCCGTAACTTGACAATAGCGTAACAGCACATTGGCCCCGGTAACACCGCAGGAAAAGCCAGGGCGGAAGTGCGGCTTTTTAGAGCCACAGCAAAAGAGAAGCGCGGCAGCGGGATCAGACAGATCCCCCGAGCTGCCGCTCATATGCTCCCCAGCGTGATCAGATGTGAGGGGGAAGCCACGGACAGGAGAGCGAGGTGAGTCAGCTGTGCATGTGTGCGCCCACGCAGTTTGGCAGGGGCCTCACATACTGTGGGAGACGGGCGCATCGGCAATCACACGGCCGCCCGTGCCGCGGATTTTCCAGTAGGCAGTAGTGTTTTGCAGCGGATTTTTTACTCCGCATCTTCAGCTGGAAGGGACGGGTTGGGGGCGGGTGCGTGACACTTGCCAGATGTTGGCATCTGATCGTGCCGGTTTAATCTGCCCTCAATCTATCCGTTCCGCAGGGCAATTCCTCCCGTGTGACTGGGGCCACAATAATTCTATCCACAATACAATTAATATTATTTGTATCATATCCTGACCTGGATAGCCAAAGTTAGCCTGATCTCGTCAGATCTTGGAAACTAAGGAGCATCATCCCTGGCTAGTATCTGGATGGGAGACCACCAAGGAAGACCAGGGTCATGACATGAAGCCAGGCAATGGAAGACCACCTCTGAATGTCTCTTGCCTTGAACACCTGATGGAGTTCCCATAAGTCAGCTGTAACTTCATGGCAAACGACAACGACAACAAATCGTATAAAGAACATATATAGAATGCTGATGTACTGTAACATCAGAAACTGGGCTGTTCTTTACTTTCTACTCTTCTTTGGTCTGAAGGGTTTCCTCCCTTTTTTGGGGGGTTGCTTAGAAACCTGAAGGCAATACTTGGGGAAATGCTGCCTCTTCAGATGAATCAGCTGCCTTTCCATCAAGACTACACAACACCTGTGTGATGCAAGGGGGGGGGGGTCACAATTTCTGAGCTGGAGAGGAGATCTCCATTCCGTTTTCTAAGCCTGAAGCGCATACAGTGAAAGAGGACTACAGGTTTCAAATAATGCCGTTTGCATCCATTGTCAATATTTCCCTTTTTATTGAGGTTATCTGATTTCACGTAGAAGGTGAATACTTACTTTCTCCATCTGAAACAGATAGAAATCAATGAAATCTTGTGGCTCATGGACAGCGTGATGCTCCTTATGCTTTTCTATCTCCTTCCTTGCAAATGAAAGCACAGCCTCTGCGCTTGAAAGGGTCTTCTTGTGAGGCCCCGGGAGGCGATCCATAATCCATGGGAAAAAATCATAGAGCTACAAATAAGATGAAAGCGAAATCCTATCACTAGTATAACATGGCTCAGTCTAGCAAAATAACTGCTGGGGTTCTCAAATCACCCTTAATAGACAAGTATAACCACAAATAACACCCACCAAGGGAAGACCATCAACAATTCACAACTATATCTGATCAAAACTGTACATTACATTCATTAAAGTATAAATATGGCCTAGTGGTCATATGACTTTTTAAATTATTTTCCCAGCTGTTCACATATTGTTCCTCAATAAAACTTTTCAATTCATTTCAGATAGACTACTGAGTCTGTGTTTCTCACTGGTTCAGCATGGCCCATACGGGTAAAATAAGCTGTAGATTTAAGCAATATATATCACCTAGTCAATATAGGAAATCAATATAACAAAAGGATGATCAGCCAGCAGAGGTACAGTGTAAAAAATGCCCTTAAATCCAACCCCATGAACAAAAGGCCTCCATACTGATGTCTCCTTTTCCATTGGTCATTATCAGATTGAAAGTCTTCTCATTCTGACAGAACCCATTCAGACCACAAGGTTTGAGTCAATCAATGAATACGTGAAATTCTTCTGCATCCCCAGTCACCTGAAAAGGTTCATCTGAAAGATGGAAGGAAAGGAAATCTGGGAGACGCCTGTCTGACCTAATCTCTGACCTAATCGGAAAGCAAAGAAAATGACTTACAGCATGACCGAAGCTACCTGCAAATGCAAAGATATAGTCAATGGCTTCCATCAACTTGATGAATTCTTTATCTTCAACAGAAAACCGGTGTCCAAAAGCCACAGCACAGATCATATTGCAGATGGAATTACTGATGGGCATTGTAGGGTCAAATGGCTGCCCTGCAAATAAAGTTGGTTGCAACTTCTGTGAGCACTCAGAGTCAATTTCATAGTGGAGTTAGGTTACAGATAGTAAGATCTTTGCAATCTTAAGAGTGGTTTAACTTTCAGAAAACATTTTAAAATGCATCAGGGTATTTCTGAGAACATACAACATCGACAAATATCTCCTCACACCCAACCGCAGCAGGTTTTAATAAAGGTCATTCTGAGATGTCATCTAGGGTTCCACAAGTCTACTGCCATCTTTTCAAGGGGGGGGGAGTAGACCTGGTGTATGGACTCTGGACTCCAGGTTGCATGCCTTTGAAAACAGAAGCAGTAGACCTGGAGTCCAGACATCAATTCTATCACTCCTCCGTTGACAGTGATATAGTCACTTCCGTTGCTTGCTGGCACCTCAAAATGCCAGTGGGGGAACATTGTGCAAAATTAGGCTGACGTGCCAGCGTTGATAGACTACAGCAACCTTTGGCCAGCCCAGTTTCCTGACATTATATACCTTTAGCACGTGCAAAAGTCTCAACAAGCTGATGGGCCTCCTCTTCTACTTGGTGCTCCGTGCCTTTCTTCCCCAGTCCCAGCTTCCGCATGGTGGCTAGCCCGAACTTCCTCTGCTGCTTCCACGTGTGGCCATTTGACATTACAATGCCTAAGGCCATAAAAAATCAATGAGAAGTTAGTACTCAAAGCAATTTTTGAAAAAGAATAATTTGAAACATGGCAGCTTGCAGCCGGACTACGCATTTTTATGACTTATGGATTTCAAGATGATATGGATTTTCAAGGAACTATATGAGTCCACTCCATGATGAATGTATCTTGGACTATGGAGTGAGACACATTGAAACTTTAGGGACTTTATTTCTCTGCACTATTGTTGTTTCTTGTAAGAACACCTTGGCTTTATCTAGTTACTAGGTGCAAGCCTCATTGCGGGAAGAGAGACAACGAGTCCTAGAGAGAGGCCACTGGAAGCCCCCCCCCAGGGACTGGCAAAGGAGAGTGTGGCGGCTCCCCGGCGGCCAGGCTCGCACCTCCCCCCGCCACGCACTGGAGGCATTGGGGCAAGCCAGCTGGCCTCGTCTCTCCTCTATCGGCGTGGTGGAGGCGGCAGCTGCCGAAGGCGGAAGGCCTCACCCGTCCACAGTGCCATGCGCTGGCAGTGACAGGCCCAGCCGGGCGGGCTGGCTCCTTCCCTGCCCTCCTGCGCATTCACTCGAGGGTCCGGCATGGCAATGCGGTCAGCCTCACCCCTCTCCCCACCGGCCGCCCGAGCAAGCAAGCAAGTGGCACACGTAGCGGTGGAGCGGCGGCAAGCGAGGGACGGCTGCTCACCGTCTGTTCCAGCCGTGCGCGTGCCAAGCCGGCTAGTCTCATCCCTCCCCCCACCCCCCCAGCCAATGGCATGCCAGTTGCCCCGAGGGGCAGCTGGCAGGCCAATGGCTGAGGGAGCGCATTTCCTCTCGCCACCCCATAGGCCAGTGGCCACCCCAAATCCCTTTTATTATAAGGAAAGATATGGTTATTGTGTTATTGAACTTGGTATTAAAATCATTATTTTTATAACATTTTTGTTCACGTTTAGTGATTTCAGCCTGTGGGTTTTTTTTTTACTTTCTATGTTTCTTGTAAGCTGGTTCCCCTCCCCCCTTTTTTTGCTTTCCTTCTATGTGGCTATCTTCCGGAAAGCTACCCCTTCTTTATAAACTATACAACTGCCATGCAGATGTGGCATCAGTCCTTATCTGGTTCAGTGATATATGACTGATATTGGCCAGCTATGTTTGCTTTGGGATGGAAGGCAGCATGGTATGGCCTGATTGCATCAGATTTGAGTTTATTTATTATTTCAATTTATGTCCCGCCCTTCCCACAAGTGGGCTCAGGGCAACTCAGAACAATTATTCAATTGTGATCTGCCCTGAGTTGTGATCCGCCCTGAGCCCGCTTGAGGGAAGGGCGGGATACAAATCCAAATAATAAATGAATAATAAAGATGGATACAATCCTAAAATATTTCAATTAGATAATAAATAACAGTATTAAATCAATACAATAAAACCAATTAAGAAATTTAAAGTGGGCAGTGCGGTATATTCAATTTCAGCTCTTACATCCGGGAAATGAGTGGGCCAGTGCTGAGCCATAATGGTCTCATACAGCAGCAATAGGAAGTTAAACAGGGTCAGTACCAATGCTCCCTCTAAGCTGTGGAGTCTTGTGAGCAAAAGTTCTACTTTGTGAGCTCCTGGCATTAAAGTTGTGAGTGAGCAATTTGGCTGCTGCATAAATTAGTTTGCTCTGGAGCCCTCCTTCCTGAGCCAAGACAAAAATGTGTGAGCCGGTGGCTAAAAAACTGTGAGCTAGCTCACACCAACTTAGATTAGAGGGAACACTGGTCAGTACCAAGAAAGGCTCTGTACCACCAAGGGAGCCTCTTCCGAGGAAGGTAATGGCAAACCACCTCTGCTTGTCCTTTGCCTTGAAAAATCCTCACCAGGGTCTCATCTGAATTGACCACAGTGTACACGAACACACATTTGTTTTTGAGAAGCAAAGCCCACACTAACTTCCATCTTCCAGCAATCAAAAATCCAGGGCTGGTACACACAAGATATTTCACCCTGTACAAGCCAGCTCGACCATTTCCATTTTTTATGCTATTTTAATTAGGCACATAAGGAATTTTATATGGAATGTATTTGACAATTGAACTCACCTTATTCTATTGTAATAACTAGATGGGATGTGATCACTGGGTTGTCGTATTCAGATGCACTGGTGCTCTGAACTGGTGTGCATTGGGCTTTCCCAAAACAGCACATGTGCAAAAATACCGCCAATCCAAACACATGAGCAGCAAATTATGTCACTAAGGATGAATTTGATGAACACCAGAGTGTAGGATTTTCCACCCAAATAATGCATTTATTTATGACAGGTGGATGATGATTTGTGATCATAGAGAGCTCAGGCTCCTCAATCAGGTCAAACCACACAGGGCTTCATAAGAAGATAACTGTTTATTAGTGTTTCCAGTATTAAAGAACACGTGTACAGATTGTATCAGGAATGACCATCAGTATAAAGGCCTCTGACTTATAGTAAACTCGAACATCCCCTCTATGAGCACAAGCCAATGCTTATAGTCCACGCGGGTGGGAAAAAGCAAGCTGGGAAGCAGGCAAAGTGCAAAAGCCATTAAGTTTCCCAGCCGAGTTAGTTGCAGCTGGAGACAGCAAGGTCAAGCATGAGATAGCGCACAGAAGCAGGACAGGGAAGAGCTGAGAACGAGGAGGAGGGCACCCCTCCACATTCCAGATCTATGACAGGGCTACCTGACAACAACAAATGCCTATATCAATCAATAGTTTAGACAATTTCGATAAAAGTAATTAAAACAATACTGTACAACAATATACTCGTCTGAAGGCGTTTGATGACATTTTATACCCTCCCCATGGAGGGGGGAAGGGCAAGAAATTGAGGCCAGTCTTGATGGTAAACTGCTACTATCTTCAGCCATAGGCCTGGTGGAACATTTCTATCTTACAGTTTCTGCGGAACTGAACCAGGTCTTGTAGGGCATGAGTGTCACCAGGCAGAGAGTTCCACCGGGCTGGGGCCAGGGCTGAAAAGGCCTTGGCCCTGGTGGAGGATAGCCAGATATCTTTTGGGCCAGGGATTACCAGGGACTATCTATGGGTATGTCACACAGAGAATGGTTGATGTACCTTCATGCAGAGGAGAAGGAGAAGAAGAGGAGGAAGAAGAGATTGGATTTATACCCCTCCCTTCACTACCGGAAGGAGTCTCAGAGCAGCTTACAGCCAGTTTGGTGAAGTGGTTAAGTGTGTGGACTCTAATCTGGGAGAACTGGGTTCGATTCCCCACTCCTTCACTTGCACCTGCTGATGTGACCTTGGGTCAGTCACAAGTTCTGGCACAGCTGTACTTGAAAGAGCAGTTTGTGACAGAGTTCTCTCAGCCCCACCTACCTCACAGGGTGTCTGTTGTGGGGAGAGGAAGGGGAAGGAGTTTGTAAGCCACTCTGAGACTCTGAGTGAAGGGCGGGGTATAAATCCAATGTCTTCTTCTTCTTTGTCTTCCTTCCCCCTCCCCACAACAGACACGCAGTGAGGTAGGAGGGCACGAGAGATCTCTTTCAAGAACTGCTCTTAAGAGGACAGCTCTGAAAGAATATGTAACTGACCAAAGGTCACGCCAGCAGCTGCATGTGGAGGAGTGGGGAATCATACCCAGTTCTTCCAGATTAGAGTCCAGGCTCCTAACTACTATATCACTACACGTTCACAGTGACAGTGGGGCATCCACACAGCAGTTTTCTCCTTGCTTTCCATGCCTCAGCGCTCTGCACCCACTATTTCCTCCTCTGGCACCCACATGCTTCCTCGGGCTTTTTACAAATATTAGCAATTACTATAGTGCCAATGTGCAAGAAGGCAAAAGGGTTCTATTGCCATGATCTCCTAGCTTCTTCTTCTTCTTTTTTTCGCCCCCCGGAGGGGATTTTTCATTGCATTTTTTTATATTTTACAAACTACAACGAAAAATTGGGAAGGGTAACTACATCTAGGGAGATAGGAAAGAAAACCACAACTAACCAAACCCCCAAGATTAGGAGATCATCACAACAGCTTGTATAAATGTTAATCTTAAATTGCTAATATTACTTTGAACATAGTCGGCTATGCTAATTTTTTATCTTTTTATCCAAAGTTTTAACCATTCAAGAGAACCCCCAGAGCATGCCACAATAAAACTAAAGTTTAAAGGCACACTTCAGAGTCCTTCAGCCTTCATTTTGTCTTATCTTTTCTAATCCTCAATTTATATGTACGCTTGGGGGCAGCCACCCCCTTATCAGAAAGAGAGTCCTCGTCGGAAGACCCCGAGTTCAATTCGCCACTGGATTTACTGTCAACTTCTTCCTTCTCAAACTCAGCTGGCTTTCCCAGCTGCACTCTCAGGAACTCATGTGCTTTGGAAACAGAGTCACTCTTTTCTTTTTTATCATGTAGTTTGAAAATGACTCCTTCAGGAATTAACCATCTGTAGACAATGCTGTTTGTTTTAAGAAAAAGCATTAAATCTTTATATTTCTTTCTCTTTTACCTTATTTCGAATGGAATGTCTTTTAGAATCCTGATAGTGTTGTCCCCGATTTTCAAAGGTGTTCCTGTAGTTGCTTTCAGGATAGAATCCCTCATGTGTCTCTTTGAGAATCTAGCCACTATTTCCCCAGGCAGATTATTCTTTTTGATGTACATGGAATAGGACCTATAAACCACATCCATTTCGCTTGCAAGATACTCCGCTTTCAAATCTGTAACTGGGGCTAATGCTTCACTCAGGAGTTGCCTTAGATTCTCACCTTTTAATTCTGGGACCCCTTGAAACTGTAGGACCAAATTTGCTTTCTCCATTTGCAGGTGTAAAAGTTGTGATTCTTCAGAGACTTGTTTCTTTTCCAGCTTTTGCACCTTTTTTCTTGACTTTTTTTTAGTGTTGGCGTCCATTTCCTTCACCTTCTCAGCTGTTTCGTTATTTTTAAAGTCTCAGTCAGTTGGAGCTGCTGAGTTGCAAGATTCTGGTTTAGATTTGTCAGCTGTTATTCTATGTTAGTCATCTGGTCCAGCAGAGGGCGCAAGGACTCTGCCAACATTTTGGAGAGCTCGGTGGTCTCTTCTGGTCGAGGGCTCAAGCCAGCTGGTTTCACTTTTACTGGTTTGTCTTTCTCTGCCCTCTTCCCCGCCATCTTTATGGATTGTTTACTTCTATGAAAACTTGCTAAAGTCTCTGAAATACACGCATACGCTTATCCGCACTCTGGTAAGTCTCTCAAAAAGATTTCAATGCTTTTTCTTCTGCTCCCCCTAAGTATTTTGTTGTTTAGTTCATGCGTATGGGAGGGGCCCCTCCCCCACTTGGTTTTTTTTGCCATTCCGTTGGAGGTAGCTTTCTTTTTAAATTCTCGTTTCACTTTAACCTGACTCACAGTTCATTGTTGGTCATACGACTTCACTCGGCATATGTTTAAAACACTCGATGTCCAACCCTTGTCCCGGTCAGTGGCTCTAGATCCATATGGACACTCAGCAGCAGGACCATCGGGGTGGAGGAGAGCCTCAATTCCCCAGCATCATGCTGGTGAAGAGGCCACCCCTCAAAAGCCCCATGGCTAGGAGCCTTTTGCCAAGGCTCCGAGGG